CATCTACATCATAAAGGAAATACAGGTATGGTAAAAAGGATCCTAATAATGCAAATGATTATTTTCAATTTATCCTCTATTAGAACCAGAATAGAACCTTCATTTCCTCTATTTTTTTTTTCCACAAACTTAAACAAAAAGACTCAAAAGTGCTTTTCCAAAGTAGATCAGTATACGACATTCAAAATGATGATAATAATGCTGAACATTATAGTAGGTATGACAGATTCTTAAGGGAGCCCTCTCTATCCCCACTTGCTGACAAGCAACTCATACCTTTGTGTAATCCCCTCCCCTTGAGCGTGGGAAGGACCGCTGACTTCCTTCTAACCAATAGGATATGGCACAGGTGATAAACTGTCACTCTTGTGATTGCCTTATGTCATATAAGACTACATCCTGCAGACTAGCTCTAGATACTCTCCTTGCAGGTTTAAGGAAGTAAGCGGTCAAGGAACTAAGGGTGGTTTCTAAGAGTCGAGAGCAGCCTCCAGCCAACATATAACAAGAGGCCAAGGCCCTCTGTCCTACAGCAATAAAGGAATTAATTCTAACAGCAGTCTGAGTTTACTTGGTAGGGGATTCTTCCTTACTCAAACCTCCAATGAGAACTAATCTGGGCAACATGTAGATTGTAACCACATGAGAACCTAAGCAGTTCAGCTTAGCTGTGTTCAGACTCTTAAGCCACAGAAACTAAACAAAATGAAAGTGTGTTGTTTTAAACCACTAAGTTTGTCATCCAACAGTAGATAACTAATACATTATGCTAATTACCAAGCCTTTTCTAAAGGATTGGTGGTGACAAATAGTACTGGTAATTGGTATCTACTACATTTGATGAGTCAATAATTTTAAGTGATATTATATTTTTACTTCTCTGATATTTAGGAACACATTAATATGAGGGTATCCTCACTTATGTTCTTTTGTTGGAAAGAGTTATCCTCTTTCTTAACGGAGAGAGATAAATGAAACCATTCTGAAGTTGATTTGAAATGTCAGTGTTTCCAGTTACAAAATAGTGCTGGTGGCAAACTAGCTGACAATTTATCACTGTTGATCCACAATCATGGAATAAATAAATGTATGTTCTTTTTTTGCTGTTAAAACTTTGAAATACTTCTATCATTGCTGCTATTGCCTAATATTTAGGAAAGCCCTAAATGTGGTTCAGAAGCAAAAATGAGTAAGAGTACTAGTCTTCTAAAGGTATATTGAAAAAAGAAACTCACTGGGTTTAAAGTGTTCTGTTTCTATATGGCTGACTAAAACCCACTGAACTAAATTTTCCCACAAATAACACCTGTGAACTCTGAGTCTCTCCACAATACAACATTCACAGTATCCAGGATAGAGTCCAGAACAATTTGACATATAATGAACAAGAAAATGTGATCCCTTCTCAAGAAGAGAGAAAATCAATGGAAGACCAAAGTTAGACAGGCAGACAAGGATTTTTAAAGCAGCTATTATAACAATGCCTATGTTTAGAGATGTAAAAACAATATGCTCACTATAAATGAAAAGATGGGAAACTCACGAAAAATTACAAACTATAAAAACTATAAAAATATGGAAAATTTAGACCTGAAGATTATACTATCTGAAATTTAAAAAATAATAAATAAAAAAAGACAATTGGATAGTTTTAAGAATAGAATGGAGATGGCAGAGAACACTGTAACTTTGAATATAGATCAATAGTAAACACCCAGCTTGCAACCAAGTGATTAAAATATGTTGAAAATACATGAACAGAGCCTGTACCTGTGGAACAGTATTTAAATGCCTAATATGCCTGTAATTGGAGTCTCAGAGGGAGAAGAGTCAGGGAAATGGCATGAAAATATTGAACAATAGTGTCTGATAATTTCTTTAACTGATGAAAGACAAATTCAGAGATTAAAGTTCAGCAAAACCCCTAAAAAAAGACAATTACAAAGAAAACTATACTTTGGCATGCTCCCATGGTCAAGTTGCCAAGCACTCAAAATTAAAATAAAAATCTTCAAAACAGTCAAAGAAAAACGGCACATTACATACTGGAAACATAATTCAAATTTCAATTGTCTTCTCTTATCAGAAACACCAGAGCCCAGTGTTTAAAGTGATGGGAAGAATTAATTAAAACATACTTTGGGGCTTCCCTGGTGGCACAGTGGTTGAGAGTCTGCCTGCCCATGCAGGGGACACGGGTTCGTGCCCTGGTCTGGGAAGATCCCACATGCCGCGGAGCAGCTAGGCCCGTGAGCCATGGCCGCTGAGCCTGCGCATCCGGAGCCTGTGCTCCGCAATGGGATACATTTGTAAATTTCCACAAGGTTGACTTGGATAATGTAAATGAGTGAAGTGATGAGGGTAAAAATGGATACACATATATTGTCTGAGTGATAGAAGTTTGCTTAATGGGAAAACATTAATTCAACCCTAGCTGATGTTGTCTTATTGGAAATCAGGACCAGGGTTGTCATACATCTATTTCTTAAGAGAGAAGAGAAAACTAAATTTGAATGTGAAGTTTCATGATTTTTAGATTTTGGCTCAGAAATTATTTAAAATGATTTGTGGCCAAACAAAATTTTGTGAGTTGAATGAAACTCCAGGTCACTAATTTGTGATTTCTGCTAATGAATAACGTAGCATCAGATGGAAAACAAACAAAACAAAAAATACCCTGGGGAAAAAAAAAATACCCTGAGATTTTTAAGTAGAACAGACCAATCTACACCTTTTACTATTTACCATACAGTGTGAAACTAATTTTAAAGAAATTTTTAATTGTGGTTGCAAAAGCCAGAGGGGGCCACATTTTCAGGTTACATATATTTGTAATACATACATGTTTGTTTTAACTCTAAGAAATAAGCAGGATAATATTATGATGCTATTAATGATAAGCAGAATTTCTAGAGAGTTAACAAGTTAAGAATATAAAAATCATCAGATAGCTCTTTCTCAGAGATTTTATAAGAGAAGAAACTGGCATTGAGGTTTGCATTAACTCTCTATGTTGATTAAAGATGGATTCTCTCTGTAAGAATGTGACCTGGTTCATGCTTTCTCTTCCAATATACCCTAACTTAAGTGCCGTCATGATGTCTTATTCTTTTGCCTCATTGAATTAGAACCATGCCCAGAGAATTTCTTCCATTATTCCATAGTAGCGCTAGCTTGCTAAAGTACATTTTTTTTCTTCTTTTGCAATTTGGAAACTGCATGTGAATGATTGGTTTATTCAATCTGTAGGTAATAAAAGGTACATACTATATTTCATGCCAAGCCCAGAAATCCCTGAAAGGGGGAAGCATTCAGAAGGAATTACTGCATAGCTAACAAGGAATTTCAGCCTCACAAAACTTCTAAAAGATACATTCAAGTAATACATTTCTGTCTCCCACTATATCTAATCCTTGGGTAGGTTTGTTTTTTTTTTTTTAGTGCAATGTAATAAATATTTCCCTAAAATACATGGCCTTGTCATTCTATACTTTTTTGGAGTTTCATTTTTACAGCTTGAGGAGTAAAGATTAGGAAATGACCTTCATAAAATATAAGCTAGAAACATGACACACACATATAATTAATTATTTAAAAAATCTAAATAGTAAAGAAAAGAAATGGTTTAGAAATATTCTGTACAGTCAGCTGCCTATTTCTACTTAAAAAAAAAATGTTTCTCTTGCCCTTTTCCCTTCTGCTGTTTCTTTGATCTTTTCCATTCGACTTCTGTGTAACCCCTCATACTTATTGTCCTTTTCTGTCACATTCTCATCATCTCCCCATCTCTTGGTTTCATTACCTCTGTCTAAAAACATGTGGAGGCATACATTTTAGGGGAAAAACAAAAACAAAATCCCCCCAAATCTTCCCTTGACTCTGCTATACCCATGGGCCTTTTGTTTTGTTTTTAAAATTTTTTTGAAAATTTTAACTCAAGGGCTGCAACTATTTTCTTAGAGCACAACAACAGAGGAAGAGTGGAGCACATATTACTCTGAAATCGAGTCCTGACTCTCCAGCTTAGAGGTGGGTGTGTGTTACCAGGCAAGTCACATCACCTATGAACCTGTGTTCACTTCTATGTGATAGAGATACTACTACTTACTAATCGATTTGTGAGAGTAAGATGAGGAAATGCATTCACAATTCACTTAGTTCTCACAATCAATTTGTGAGGTAGATCTTATTAAGAGCTCTTAGTCTCTGCAAGTTCAACAGGTTTTTTTTAAAATTGTTTAAAGCTTATCTAAGAAATATATAATTTAAAAACAAAGATACAATGTTAACTTCACCACTTTTATGTTCCTAATATTAAACCTAAAGGAGAAGCATTAATTTAAAAAGTCACTTAAGTGATTTAAAACTGTGCTTTGGGGAGCCCTTGGTGTTCTGAGAAGCTGCCTCTGGGAAAAGAGGAAGGGAAAGATGGCAGGCAGGACTTCCAGCTCTAGCTTCAAGAAAACAATTCTTATTTTATTTGTGTTACGTATACTAAATCATTGGGAAAAACAATTTCACAGCCTAAGGCACAATGTAGAAGCCCCACTGTCTGATGCAAAAAAACAAAAACTGAAAAACCTATTGCTAGAGGCTTTGTCCTCTTCTCTGCCTCAGGTTTCATTGGTGGAGAAGGGGCAGTGGTGGTATTAATTTGCAAGTTCCATAAAGCATATGCATCACATTGGTAATATCATGTCCAATGATTTACTTAGAATGCTTAGGAGTCCACTAACATAATGGAAATTTAATAAAAATGACATATTATACCTAAGAATACATTTTAAACTTTTACCTACAAAACTCACCAAAAAGTAGCTTTTATAAGTATAGCACAAATATTTTTTAAAATGTAATTATGAGATAGTTATTAATAATAGTATAATTACTAATGTGGTTCCAGGAGCTGAGCAATAGAGAAATATAATAAATATCAGCTGAAGTAAATATTAATTTTATTCCTTATAGTGAACTCACATTGCAAGTAGATATTTACATACCGGATCATCTGGATTATATTGAATAACATATTCTATCTGTCCATTTGGGCCATCATCTATGTCTGTAGCTCCATTGTCTCCTGAAAATCCTGTAAATACTGTGGTGCCAACTGGAGTGAGCTGAAAAAAAATAACAAAAGAAAAACTGTTAATTCTCATTTGATCAACAGCACACCAGAAGTGTTCTGGCACAAAAACCAGACATTTGTTACACAAAGGGAAAAAGCAGGCAGTTGCCCACAACCAGAGATCTGAAGTATTTCAAAAGAACACTTGCAAACACATGAGTTCCTATAAAGTCTGAAATTTCCAATGTCATGGTCCTTGCTTTGGATAAAGAAATAGAAGGCCCTGATTCAGTGTGAAGCGCATTTGGACCAATTTATGATCATTAGCATCTTAGCTCCTATGGAGAAATGCATCTGCTGTTCCTCCTTAAAAAAAACTTGATGCCTTAAGTTATCTACAAACTAGGATTTAAACTGTAAGAAGGAATTAGTTACTTTAAAATCAAAAACCATTTCAGAGAGATCAATGAAATCCAGTTGGTAATTACATGCAAGTGGCAAATTTAAGGGAGAGAGTTGGAGACAATGGATCCCGTCTATCAGAGGAGAGAGAAAGCTGGGATTTTCTTTAGTGCTTGCAGTATCGGTTAAGTAGAAAGCCATCGTGTGACAGAATTGGAGAAATGGTAATATCTTTTCATTTTGGATTAAAACAACAACAAAACATAAAATGGCATATAAGACCATGATTTCACATTTGGCCTGAGCATCTAGCTTTATTTCTTATTGATCTCCAACAGAGAATCACTGTTGGTTTTCTCTTACTTGTAGGTCTTTGTATTCCTACATCCAGAGTCCTGTCTTCAAGCTTTAGCTGGGATCCTTCTCATTAGTTACATTTCAACTTAATTAAGTACTGCCTTCTTCTAAACCATTCCTGACAGAATTTCCCTACCCCACGTCAGAACATGGCACCCTTTTCGTTACTCTTATATTTTATACTTTACTTCTCTAATCATCACACTGTCACAATGAATAAATGAATTTAGTCAATAAACATAAGCTTTGTGCCTCTAAAGAACACAGACTTTTAAATTTTATTCTGAGATATGTTTTGTTAGGTTTTAAATGGGATTCCTTAATGGAGAAATAGTTTCACAGAGAAAAAGAAGGAGTTATCTCATTTACTTATATTTTCAGGGGCTACAGACCCAGATATCTGCAGGGATATCAGGCAATGTAAAAGAGTGAAGCAAGTCTCATGGGAATGGTGGCAACTGGGGAACACTTCCCCCTCTAAAATGGTAGCTGCTACTCAGCCTTAGCAAATTCTTACCATAATGAAATATGGAGCCAATGTTACTACATCTTCTAATGTTCTAATTTTATAAGAAATCTCTTGGTTCTAAAGTCAGCAACAGATTTTAGAGAATTAAACTATGAATTTAATGCCCCCCTTTCATACACCCTTTGGCACAGCAACCACAGGAGTTTGCAACCTCTGATTTAGAAAAATAATACAATTATGATTAAAGAAGTGATTTTAAAACTGTGCTTTGGGGAGCCCATGCTTTGGGGAACCGTGAGTACAAAGTAGCATATTTATAAAGTCAGCTCTCCTGGCAGGCAGCTTTTAAAGGCAAACTTTGACTTTCTGCAGCTCAAAGAGAACTGAGGATAAAGTGAGAGGAGATAGTTTTAATAGCACATATACGAACACGGGCACACCTTTGGAAATGTTAGTTAACAAAAAGGCTTCCAAGCCAACATTTTAATATTTTTTAATGTAATCCCTGTCCCCAAAGACATCATTCTCTCTTATAAAAATTCACCCACTCCTATGTAGTTGTGCCTTGGTTTTTAAATAATGAAAATTTAAAATTGAATGGCAACAAGTTGTTTCCAGATATCTAATAGAACAGAGTATTTAAAGATCTTTGTTGCCAAAGTAAATAACTGTGCCACAGAGTTGAATTAAAAAATTAAAACCAAGCAAAATACAAAAGGAAACAAATCAAAAAACTTGAACAATAGGTATCTAAAATTTTTGAAAATAGACTTCTGCCCCTACTTTAAAAATGTGGTATTTAGCTGTTGACAGCAAAGGACTCAAATAGTATATCAAGTTATTAGTTCAGCATTTTGTAGTGAGTTTTGCTCCCTTCGATATATACAAATGTTGTACATTTAGGCCAAACATTTTAGCACAGATTGTTCATTTTCACTACTGGAATAAGTAAACATCTACACACAGACGTACACATGTAAAATGCAACGTTAAAATGGATCCATAATTGAGCTACACACATTTATTCATTATCTACCACACGGATGGTGGACCTGTTCAGATATAGGCTAGCGTTTGGAATCTTTGAAGCTAATATAAGAGAAATAGCTAAGAAAAAAGAGGGTTAAGGCGTTTTGTTTTAATATGGAAGGTCTGGCAAGAGAAAATGGGTGCAATGAAATGGCCTATACCAGATGCAAACAAGCAAAAGAGAGAGCATGCAAAATGGTTTTAATAAATAGATTTCAGCAACTCATTTCACTCATTTTCTTTATATATATATATATATATTTATATATACCCAACAAAAATATATACATATCTATGTACACAACAAAAATATGTACATATCTATGTACACATACACATATCACATATATAAATTCACACATATCACTGTTACTTATTCTTATTACAGAGACATGGCACTCTAGTGCTTTCTGAATTTCTAAATATTATGTGGAGGTTGAAAATCTTCAAAGGACAGTCAGGTTGTTTGTTCTACCTGTGTTGCGCTATACATTATTATTTACAATTTTCAGGGCACATCTGCCATACTGATGGTCATGTTCTGTGCCCTTTAACATTTCAATGAGTCTCAGAAATATAAATTTGGTTTTCTGAAGGGCATTCTATTCATGCGATGATTATCAGCTTGGGCACCTGCCTGAGGGTGTCACTTACTTATTTAGTTCATGTCTTTTTCCACAAATGATTTTATACAACTACTGGGAAAATACAGAAAAATGCATAAATGCACACATAAGTTAAAGAAAATAAAGCCAGAAAATTCAGTATTTCAAGAAGATGCATAAGAGAAATCTGAATGTAAAAGGTGAGCAGTTCTCAGTTAACTGATTATCCTGTGAGCCACAGTTGCTTGAGCCAACCTAAAAAAAGAGAAAATTTTCCTGACTAATCTTACTTGCAATATTTCTCCACAGAAGTATTGTATTCACAGTTTCATATAAATATAGTTGATTCTCATCATCCATGGTAATTCTGTACTATAAAGACACCATGAACACTGAATTAACAAATACTGAACCCAGGCTCCTAGGGGGAATTCAAGGTTATTACATTGCTGAGGGGAATACAGGATTAAGTTCCTGCAAGCCTCTGGTTACAACATTTTCATCAACAAATCAATACATAACCTTGTTTTATGGTTGTTTCTGTTTAAAAACACTTTATTTAATATGTTTGGTCTATTCTACTGTAGATGCTCTATATTGTACTTTTCATTTTATTGACTGAATTATTCAGCTCCAGAATTTGTTTGGTTCTTTTTTTTATGATTTCTATCTGTTTGTTAAATTTCTCATTTTGTTCATGTCTTGTTTTCCTAATTTCACTGAATTGTCTTTCTGTGCTTTCTTGTAGCTCATTTAGTTTTCTCAAAACAGTTATTTTGAATTCTTTATCAGGTAAATCACCAAGTTCCATGTTTTGGAGTTCGATTACTGTAGGATAATTGTTATCTTTTGGCGATGACATGTTTCTTTGATTCTTTGTGTTTCTTGGAGATTTGCATTGGCTGTTTTCGCATTTGATGTAGCAGATACCTCCTCAAATCTTTTGTAATTGTCATTGAGTTGCAGATATTTTTCTTGGTCCCACTTACATCTGGGGTTTTCTTCAACCTTGTATGAATACACCTGCCCCGCACATGCTGCTCCAACAGAGGGCTGGAATCTCTCCTCAAGAGGAATGGACTTTTTCCAAGTCTCTTTCATCCACAGGTGTCTGCCCAAGTCAATATTACCCAGGTTTCCCCAGACCACAACCCAGAGGAGTTGGGGCCATTTCACTGCTCAGCCAGTTCAATGGCTTCTGCTAGTTCAAATTCCAAACCAAGGTCTCTCTGCCTATTACCCAATGCACAGGTGGGCAGAACTACTTCCAGGTCTCTTTGCATATGGTGTTAGATCCCACAACTACAGCAGAGGTACTTTTGTTCATAGATAGATGCTAATTTTTATTTGTTCAAAGCGGGGACTTAAAGGGACATCTTACACTACCATAATGTTGACGTCACTCTAGGGCAAATTTATATTCAGCAAAGAAATGGTATGTTGTTCATTTTGAAGAAAATATTGAGAAGGATGAATCTTGGAAAGCACTCCATAAATCATAACATTGTGTTAAATGTACATATTTAGTGATAGGGTAATGCCACTGGCATCAGTGTCCTTGTATTGATAGGTAATAATCTCCTGACATTTATATCTATTATATATTTCTTGGAGTCTCATGTAATATATTTACATGAAAATGGACATTTTGGTAGAAATAAAATGCTAAAATATATAATTTCTGAATATCTAAAATGGTATTTTATACACATTTTAAAACAATGCCTTCCAATAGACTTCAATGGCTTTAATGATTAAAGAGAAAATGTACAAGAGTCCAGAAGAAAAAAATATTTTTTATAATAAACACAACTAAAATAACACCACTTGAACTGGGAAATAATTGATACAAATGATGATATTATCCAGTTTTGAAAACCTTCTCAAGAAAAAGGCACCCCAAAGGAATAATTTAAAATGCAATTGGTGTGATATTACTTTCTTACATACTTCATCAAGAATCCAAGTGTTTAGTTTTCCCCTCCCCTCTAAAAAGGATACAACTTCTGAAGGGTCATGGACATTAAATAAGCTGAACTAGAATTCACTATATGATGATTTACATATAATAATCACTTAATGACAGAACACCAACAATGGTAGTGGGTGCTCTATATCTACTCATAGACATTATCAAAACAGAAACATTGTCTTTAGTGGAGCAAGATTATGTATAAGTCTATATAGGAC